AAATCCAAATCAAAACCTCAATGAGATACCACCTCACACCAATCAGAATGGCTAAAATTAACAAGTCAGGAAACGACGCATGTTGGGGGGGATGCAGAGAAAGGGGAACCCTCCTACACTGTTGTGGGAATGCAAGCTGGTGCAACCACTCTGGAAAACAGTATGGAGGTTCCTCAAAAAGTTGAAAATAGAGCTACCATATGATCCAGCAATTGCACTACTGGGTATTTACCCCAAAGATACAAATGTAGTGATCCGAAGGGGTACGTGCACCCCGATGTTTATAGCAGCAATGTCCACAATAGCCAAACTGTGGAAAGAGCCACGATGTCCATCTACAGATGAATGGATAAAGAAGATGTGGTATATATATATAATGAATATTATGCAGCCATCAAAAGGAATGAGATCTTGCCATTTGCAACGACGTGGATGGAACTGGAGGCTGTTATGCTGAGCGAAATAAGTCAATCAGAGAAAGACATGTATCATATGACCTCACTGATATGAGGAATTCTTAATCTCAGGAAACAACCTGGGGGTTGCTGGAGTGGGGGGTGGGTTGGGAGGGATGTGGTGGGTGAGTGATAGACATTGGGGAGGGTATGTGCTATGGTGAGTGCTGTGAATTGTGCAAGACTGTTGAATCACAGATCTGTACCTCTGAAACAAATAATGCAATATATGTTAAGAAAAAAAAAAGAAGAAGAAGATAGTAGGAGGGGAAGAATGAAGGGGGGGAAATCGGAGGGGGAGACGAAGCATGAGAGATGATGGACTCTGAAAAACAAACTGAGGGTTCTAGAGGGGAGGGGGTGGGAGGATGGGTTAGCCTGGTGATGGGTATTAAAGAGGGCACGTTCTGCATGGAGCACTGGGCGTTATGCACAAACAATGAATCATGGAACACTATACCAAAAACTAATGATGTAATGTATGGTGATTAACATAACAATAAAAAGTAAAAAAAAATAAAAAGGCAATCTTAAAAAGATAGGTGCTGGGGCGCCTGGGTGGCTCAGTCAGTTAAGCCTCTGACTCGTGATTTTGGCTCAGGTCATGATCTCAGGTTCCTGGGATTGAGCCCTGCATTGGGCTCTGCGCTCAGTGGGGAGTCTGCTTGAGATTCTCTCTCTCCTTCTGCCTCTCCCCCTGCTCATGCCCTCTCTCTAACTCTTTCTCTCTCTCAAATAAATCTTTTTTTAAAAAAAAGACACGCTGAATGAGTCCATCATATAATATTTGTGAAATAACATGTTATAGAGCTAGAGAACAGGTCAGTGGTTGCCAGAAATCAAGGATGAGGAGAGTGGATATAGTTATTATGGAGCAGCACAAGGGAGTCTTTCGGGTGGTTCAGTTAAGCATCTGATTTTGGTGCTGGTTACATGAAGCTACACATGTGATTAAATTGCATAGACCTCTACACACGCACACACACCCAAATCAGTTCATGTATAAATGGTGAAATCTAAATAAGCTCTGTGCTTTGTACCAGTGTTAATTTCCTGATTTTGATATTTATTATAGTTATGCAAGATGCTAACATTGGGAGGTACATAGGACCTCTTTGTGACTTCCTTTCAAAATTAAGTGTTTGAGAAAAAGACCAGTGACTAAACTAGTACCTCTAGTGTCCAGATTTTGTTTTCTTTTTTTTTTTTTTTAGAGATTTTATTTATTTATTTGAGAGAGAATGAGAGAGAGCACATGAGAGGGGGAGGGTCAGAGGGAGAAGCAGACTCCCTGCCGAGCAGGGAGCCCGATGCGGGACTCGATCCAGGGACTCCAGGATCATGACCTGAGCCGAAGGCAGTCGCTTAACCAACTGAGCCACCCAGGCGCCCCAGATTTTGTTTTCTAAATACTTTCTCCTCTCATTTAGGGATGGGGGAAGGAGACAGGGCTTTTGGGGAAGATAGGTATGATTCTCCAGGTCTGGGGCATGAAATATATAAGATAAACCTTAAATGGTTTGTCATAATAGAAGCCAAAGAAACTAGCAAAATTATCAAAAACCAGTAGGTCATGCCAGAAGGACTTAGGATGTGATCTTACCGGCCAAAGATGGGATAATTTTAGCATCACTAATGATAATTGCAGTGAAGTAAAACACACTGAATATTTTTAAAGCCGTGTCTTCATAATAATAATTTATTAAAGTTATAATTAGGCATTCTTTGGAGGTTTCTAGGGAAACAACTCAGTTGGGAAACTAGATAAAAAGGAAAAGAATTAACCATTTATCTTGCCTTCCTTATACAAACTATACCTCAAGGTAATTAAATAGTCGACTTGCAAGGTTTCTTTCATAGAATTATTCCAGCTAATAAATGAAAAAGGAATGATAGAATTCCTTGTTGAGAATAATAGGAAAAAATAGAAAAAAATCTCTAGTTTTTGCATCCTCTAATAGATTTAGGCATTTATCATCATAGGCCTGTTAACATTAGTTTTCTGGGGCTACTGTATAAATTACCATAATCTGGGTGGCTTAAAACAACAGAAATTTATTCCCTTTGCATTCTGGAGCCCAAAAGTCAAAATCAAAGGATCAGCATAGCTGCATTCCCTCAAACCGTTTTAGGGGAGAATCAGTCCTTGCCTCCCCAGCTTTTGGTGGCTGCAGGCATTCTTTTGCTTGTGGCCACATCACTCTGATCTCTGCTTCCATGGTCATATTGGCTCTTCTGGGTTTTCTTCTATGTGTCTTTTATATAGATACTTATCATTGGATTTAGGGCCCATTGAGGGAATCTGGAATGATCTTAAAATCTTTAACCTAATTACATCTGCAAAGGTCCTTTTCCAAATGAGGTAACATTTACAGGTTCCAGGGTTTAGGACATGGACTTACTTTTTTAGGGGCTACCATTCAGCCCACTCTAGTGGTTAATATCATAAAAAGAGGTCAGAGGCAATCCTCCTCAGGGAAGTAAACATCACATTGCAAGAAACAAACAAACAAAAAACCCTGAATGAAATCAAGCATCAACTTATAGGACATACAGGAAACAGAACACTACAAGGATGCAGTCAACAAAATTCAGGCTGTGGGAAATGCTACAGGACAAAAAGAAAGTTTCTTCAACAAATAAAGTACAAGAGAGAAAAAAAAGAGATGGAGGAAGGAAGGAGCCTATATATGAAAAGAAACCTAAGCAACATCATCCACGTGTACTGTGGGGGCCTTATTTTGATCCTGATTTTGAAAAACTTAAAAATATTAAGCAATCAGGGAAATTTGAACACTTATTGGTTGTTTTATAAGCATTTATTATAAATTTTAATATGGGTAGGGTTTTTTAAAAAGTCCTTGTCTTTTAGATATCATACTGAAATATTTACGGATGAAATGAAATGTCTGGGACTTGCTTCAGTACAGGGGGTGGGAGAGGTAGGTGGGTTTATTGTTGTCTCTACTTTTATTTATGTTACAATAAAGTTAAAAATCTAAAAATGTTGTAACTAGAAGGATGATCCTCTTAGCTTTTTCTGCATGGTGATTAGTGAGGCTCTCAGGGCTGTGTCAAGGAATCCAGGAAACCAGAATCCAGGAAAAGAAAAAAATGCATTTCCCTTTGAGAATATGTTTACTCAGCCAGCCTTGCCTGACAAAATTCTCCCAAGCTCTCCTCACCCCATCTCACCCCATCAGTCTGGATTAAATAACACCCTCTTTTGTGTTCTCCTAGTACCCACTACATACATACTTCCACAGTATATTTAATTGTGTACTGTCTGGTTCTCCCACTTTCCAGATTATAAATTCCTTGAAGATGCTAACCTAGTTTATTCATCTTTATTCATCTATATATTGCCCTCACCCAATGCAGTTAACATTGGGCTTGGTAAGCTCTCTCAATAAATGATTGTTGAATGAGCGATAGGGAACTGGGTTTGTGCTGGTAAATAAAATGTAAAATATAACCCCTACTTTCTCTATCTCTTCAGTAAACCCTTTTCCCAGGACTACTAAGGTATAGCTACAGAGCTTCTTTAAACTTTTTTCTTCTTCTTCTGCCCATCCTCTGGCAGAGGTGCTAATGAAAGATAAGTGAAGGGTAAGCACTGTAGCAACGTGGAAAATGGGTTTCTGCACAATCAAATGTCATTGATTTCCACTCTTTCCCAGGGTGTATAGTGCAGTGGAGTCTCTTCAGATGGCTGTCTTTCTGTACTATTTGTTTTGCTACATTCTGTGTATCAGAGGTCCCCTTCTGTATGAATTCCTTGGTATGCTTTAAGATGGTAATTAGAATGTAACCTCCTAGGGGCACCTGGCTGGCTCGGTGGAGCACGTAACTTCTCGATCTTGGGGTTGTTTGTTTGAGCCCCACACTAGGTATAGAGATTACTTAAAAATGAAAAAAAAAAAAATCTTAAAAAAAAAAAAAGAATGTAACTTCCTAGAAATGATGCCAAGAAGTACTATAAAAAATACTGTTTTGTGGGGTGTCTGGCTGGCTGAGTTGGTAGAGCATTCAACTTTTGATCTCGGGGTCATGAGTTCAAGCCCCACTTTGGGGCTTTAAAAAAAATTGTTTTAATACTATTTTGTGCTATGGATGGGGTTATCTGGCAGTTTCCTAGTGGATGACCATCTCTATATAGACTTTAAGAGGTCTACAAAACTTTATAGCTGAGAGAGACGTAAGGGACTAATGTGTTTCCCTGTTTTCATCCCATTGCCCCCATTAAAAAGAGCAACTTTTTGTATAATTGCAATCTTTTTGCTGTCTTAAAATATTGCATATTATCTAGTCTGGGCTAGTTTCTAAACTAGTGCTTTCTATATTTAGACTATTGAGAAAATAGGACACATAAGTAACAACTGTTATCTAAAATGAAAAAAATGTGTACTTACCATTTTCTTTTGATTACATAGTGTTGGATGATTTCTCATTTTTGGAAAGCAGGATAAATCTTAAATTTTAAAATATAATTACTGGACATCGTAACCTTATTAAAGGCTTAAAGATACTTTATTTTCTCTTTAGGTGGTACGGGACTATAATCTTCAGCTGTTTTTACAAGAGAATGCTGTATTCCACAAGCCCCAGCCCTTCCAGTTCCAGCCATGTGACAGTGATACTGTAAGGGGATTCCAGATTTTCATTCCATTTGTTTTTAAGCCACCTTTGTGCTCAAGTAACTATTATCCTTGGAATAGGCAGAAAAAGCTGAGTGCATCTCCTTAATTTTGTAACAAAACTGTGAGTATGCAGAGAAGCTGACATTTCTCCTTTCTAAAATGTGATTAAAACCCAGTTTCTTTATGTCACCAATTTAACTGAGGTTAAGTTATGAGACATGTAACTAAAAACCTGCAAACTGAACAGAAGGAAGAAGGAAAAATATTCAATAAAAATTTTTTTCAATTCAAATATAAATTATACTTTCTATCTATGAAATTCTTCACATGTAAACACTTCCAAAGAAACCAGTGGTTAAATTTTAACCAGAATAGGGGCGCCTGGGTGGCTCAGTCATTAAGCGTCTGCCTTCGGCTCAGGTCGTGATCCCAGGGTCCTGGGATCGAGCCCCGCATCGGGCTCCCTGCTCCGCGGGAGGCCTGCTTCTCCCTCTCCCACTCCCCTTGCTTGTTGTTCCCTCTCTCGCTGTGTCTCTCTCTGTCAAATGAATAAAATCTTAAAAAAAAAAATTTTAACCAGAATAGAATCAATAAGCAGAACAGTGTATATGTGCCTATACATATTTTGGTTGGCTTTATAAAAAATTACAGGCCCTTTATAATTCCTTTCAGATTTCTTAGAATGTCAGAGTATTAACATAAATGCCAAATTGACAATTTTTAAAAAGCAGACAATCATGCATTTTATCATTGAGTTTATGAAGAATGTTTGCCATTATTTGAATTTAAAAAAATAGAACAAAAATGCTAATTTGATAAAAAAAAAAAAGACAATCAACTTCTACAAGTTAGAAGGCACATGTTGGCATATCTAGCACATTCTTTCAATGTAGGCAAGCCAAGAGGGAAGTCAAATTATATTCATAAGGTCTTTTAGTAAACCTGGAATCAGAACCAGGGGAATTTATATCAGAGTTTCATGGTATCAGTTTAATAGAAACCTTTGCTGGAGATTTTTCATTGCTTTTCTTACATTTTAAGGAGCCCTGTTTGTGGCTATATAAGGAAATCAGCATTTACCTCTAGATTATAACTCTTGCCCTTTATATGTGCCTTTCTTTTTTTTTTAATCAATCCACTTTTGCTTAATGATTCAGCAATGTTGTCCTATAATTTGACTTCTTTACCTGAGAGGAATGAAGCAGAGCATTAGAAGATACAGGGTGTGGACAGGTTCACCAAGCTTGACTTAAAATAGTGACTAATTTATCTCTGCCCATTTTCCTCAGAAAAATCAGAATAACAGTAGACTCTCATTGTCCAAGGCCCAGCTACAATCCTAAATCCTCCTCTGTTTGTAGACACTGTTAAATGTTCTTAGCTGCATGTCCCTGTTTGCCTTAAAATTCTAACTATGCTGTTTTCTGTCCTTGTGCAATCTTTACTGGGCAGAGTTTAAAAGCTGCCCAACTGGTGGATATTGAGCTCTCCCCTGTCAGTGCTCTGAGAATGACCATAGCTGAGGTATATGGGGGTGTGGGTCAAGGGTGGGAGAGATGGGATGTGTGGGTTTGCATGTTAATGAAGGGTGGGACCTGGTATTGGGATTAAAAATGTGTGTGTGTGTTTGTAAGGGGCCACTGAATTCAGCGTAAACTGGGACTTTCCATTTTCCCATATAAATTAAGGATTTCCTTTCCTATTTATAGTGAAAGGATTGAACTTCTCATTTTTCATCCTGTCTAAAGCACCTTAGTTTTTCTCGAGAGGCATGTTGGAAAGAATTATAGTGCTAATCTTGCCTTTATCAAGGGGAAACTGAAGCCTATTTTAATATAACCCATTTCAAATTGCAGTATTTTTCCTGCAAAAGTCCAAAATGCCCAGATGAAAACATAAAGTCACAATATTACTGTCAAAGTTAATTAAGGCTTAAAATGATTGTACCCATTTTGGTTTTTTGGCTTATCTTTACTTGCTGATGAATCGAAATTTCTTGTCATTTTATTTTAATATGTGATTATTTTGACTCATGCTTTAGAGTGATATACCAAAAGAAACTGGCCAAAATGGTTGTATAAAGACACAATTATTTCTGTTTTGTACAGCCATAGAATCGGATTGGGAATCTTAGTGTTAACCATAAGATCATTCCAAGTGACAATGATCAGTGGCAAGTTCATCTGATGTAATAACTTAGTAGCTGTCTCATGGTTAACACTAAAAGATCTTCTTGTCTTTATTTCCATATAGAGTTATTGATTTCTACAGTGTCCTTTCTTTATATCCTCAAATACCATTTTTCAGATGATACCAGAAAGTTAAAAATCCTTTCTAGAAAGAGTAATGTTCACCTTTCTTTGCTGAAATGAGTTTTTAATGCAAGATTATTCTAAGGAGGATATAAGATGTACCCTAAAATTTCCCTTACCCCCAAAAAAGGGGATGTTCTATAAGGGAAAATTGACAAGTACATATATTAGGATCTCAGTTGTGGAGAGTCATTCAGCTGTCATGTGGGTCATGCTTGTCTTAGAGATTGATACGGTGTCATACAATAAGAAATCATGAGCTTTGGAGTCAAGTCCTGGCTGTGCCATTTGCTGGCTGTGTTTATTTTATTTATATGTTTATATATATTTAACCTCTCTGATTCAGCTTTCTCATATGTAAATGTTAAAGACCTTAATCTGCTTGAAAATTAAATGAGATACTTAAGCATTTGACTCAGTACCTGACACGTAGTAGATACAGAATAAATGTTGACTTTTTTTCCCGTATCTTTTCACAAGACAAGCATATTTCATTTTTTTAGGTTTTGCCCCTAATTGCTATAGGAAATACCAAAATATCAAATATTGAAGACATTATAAAGATTATGAAGTCTTGTAACACTTTTATATTCATGGTACCCCTGCTCTTAATTCCATTACTGAGTTGATCATTGAAAGTCCCTTGGGACTTCTGCTCTCCTTTTTCATTCCAAAACGTAGATCTCATCAGCCTCTTTCTTAGCAGTTTATAAGCCTAAAAAGCAATCTGTTTAGAATAAACAGCAGCCAATAGCTAACAGTTAGTGTCCATTCCTACTCCTTTTATACTTTTCAGCACCTCTGCCCTACATACACCTCAGTGTTTGTCCCTTCCATTACCAGAACTACTGATGTCTGCCCTTAAGGACATTTCCTCACATCCTGTGAAAAGGACCTCCTATCCTATTTCAGCCTGAGATGGGGAATAACATGGGAAACACACATAAAAAGGCAGGAAAAACTTACGGAAACTTTTCCCCCAAATTTCCTGGTGGGGATGCGAAGACCCTTTCCTTTTTACCTTTCCTGAACTGCAAATAAGATTTTCACAGATATCAGAAACTGACATTTTTATCACAGTATCACAGATATAAGAAATAGCTGACAGGGGTGCCTGGGTGGCTCAGTGGGTTGAGTGTCTGCCTTTGGCTCAGGTCATGATCCCAGGGTTCTGGGATCATGCCCCACATCAGGTTCCCTGCTCAGTGGGGAAGCTGCTTCTCCCTCTCGCCCTGCCCCTCCCCCCACTCGTGCTCCCTCTTTGTCTCAAATAAATAAATAAATAAAATCTTAAAAAATATAGCTGACAAGTTTCTGATCCATGATCTTTTCCTGTTATTTTAGCCACTAGTGGTTATATTTAATTCTACCATGTAAAGATTAAAAGTTATATTAAGTAAAATGGCCACTTGCTGTAATTTAGGACTTTTGCACGTTACATTTTCATTTAAGTGGGACATGTTATGCATCTACTAAAAATACGTACAATATATGTAAACCAAACTAACATGCTGTACACCTTAAACTTATATAGTGATGTATGTCAATTATTTCTCAATAAAACTAAGAAAAAAATATTTACCAAAAATTACCCTTGTCTATAAAAGACTATATGGGATCAGTATGCCATACAGGGAAATCACTTGAAAATTCTCATTGTTAGTGAGTGGCTTTATCTGCTGATGGAAATCTTGTATTGCATAAAGCATTGGCGTATGACCATGAAAGCACTGTGATAGAGAATTGGTGGAAAATCCTCCTTGTGGGTGAATAGGTACCACCCTCCCATACATATACTGACCACAGTATCCCAAAAATGAAAGGCCAGAAACAGCAGTGCTGGCAGTCAGAGGGGGTTGTCCTAAGTTCTTCAGTCTTTCAAAAAGGACTTAATTTGGTTTTGTAGAAAACCTACCATCTATATAATGAGTCTTTATGCTTTCTCTGGATTTGATACATTCTTAGTCTACAGGTATCCAGAGCTTACTACAGGTATTCAGTAATGTACTGACACAAAAGAGCCTGGGATTTCACTTTTTTATCTAGCCTGTGATTACAGCTCTTAAAGCAGAGCATCTGTGAGAGCTGCCAAAATAAAGACATACTCCTCATGTGGCTGTTCCAACCAGTCATGCCTCGACATATATCTAGAGAGTGTCAGAGACAAGGCTTTTTGTTGGTTTCTTGTCTTGTTTTCATGGCATTACTGAAGGACATGTTTTTCTCTTAGCTTCACGTTTGGTATCTAATAGCTCTTGTTTGCTTCCCTGAGAGACTACGCACACTCAACCCAGTTGTGAATTCCTCCATCTCTTCTAAGCGAAAGTGCTACTCTCCAAGTATAGTCAGAATAAGTTATGATTCATGAGGAGCACTGCTCCACTCCTTTCCAAGTTGTGTGATAGATTTAAAATATGTGACTTAGAGGTCCACAATCTCTCATCAAAAGCCTTCAGGTCAGATGGGTTTTCAAAACTTAAAATTTTTCGGTGCTTGCTTCAGCAGCATATACACTAAAATTGGAACGATACAGAGAAGTTGAGCATGGCCCTTGTGCAAGGATGACACGCAGATTCATGAAGTGTTCATATTTTTTAAAAATAAAATATTTAAAATGAATAACATAGATATCCTGGATTTTTAGGGGCACCTGGCTGGCTCAGTTGGTAGAGCATGGGACTCTTGATCTTGGGGTTCTGAGTTTGAGCCCCATGTTTGGTGTAGAGATTACTTAAAAATAAAACATTTAAAAAATAAAATAAAATAACAGAATTTTCCAGGTTTTAGAAGGGTGATCCATATACCACATATTGTATAACACCCTAAACAACAGGAAGGACCTCATGATCAAGCTTGGTATTTTTTCAGTAAAACATTTGAATAGTCATACTAAGTGAAATAAATAAAAACTATAAATAATGTTTCTTTGGTTCAAGTCAAATTTTGCCACAAATGAGCTGTGGCTCCAAACTTACCTAAAATACCTGTGATTTTCAGAACATTGTGAATTTCAAAATTATAGGATCGTGAACCTGTATAAACATAAGTACTAAGAATATAATAACCTACGCAGATCCAGATGCTTTTTACTTGAAGAGGCCCTTTTCAGAGCAAGTAAAAATTAACTTTCTTGAAATAATTAACAGTATATTATTAAATTTCATAAAAACTAAAGTTGGATTAAATATTTAACACAATAAATATATACCAATAAGCTGAAAAATACAAGTAGTACGAATCCCTTGAATGAGGGTTAATAACTAGATTGTTCCTGGCGTACGACAACCCTAACATTATCTTTTGAAATTAGGTTGAAATGCTAGTATTTTGCTCTGTTTGTGGTTTTCATTCATCATATGACCATCTCTTTTTCTCTCTTTCAAATGATTATATTTTGATAACAGACTTGAAAAATAATGAAGTGTTTCTTGTATGAAATCAACTTTTTTATCCCTATTCACTTTGCCCTTCTGGGCATATGCTCAGATACCTGTCTGAACCTTCTGTGTCCTTATTTTAATCCTAAAGTGAACTGAAATGATATCTTGAGAGGGTAACTCAGGACAAAATCGTTAAGATGACTTAAAAACTAATATATCAAGAATAGTAGAATGTTAATTTCTGTCATGTAGTTCTTACAAATTTGAAAAGACTAATATTTAAATATATTCTGTAAAATATTGGGAACATTAAAAAATTTAACATTGCTAGGCTCTGAAGGCCTTCTTAAACTCATATGAAACAGTTTGGCTTTTATTTTTCTAAAAACAAAATGAAATCAAAATCTGTCTTACCTCTAAGTAAATGGCCTAGCCAAAGTTTCATTCAAAGGAAATTTTTATTTTTGCAATGTCTTCTTAAATATTACTGCCTCTATTTTTATCAGTATTGGCATTAACTAAATAGAACAGTTAGTAAGACAGTACAGTCATAAGATAGCAAGGAATCTGAAGTCAAAGAGATCTCAATACAAGTTCTAAATTCACCACTTACTGACTTTAGAAAAGACACATACCCTTTCTAAGCTTAGAATTCCATACCTATAAATTGAAAATCTCTATTAGGATTATTTTGAGTACTAAATAATGTATGTAAAGCAGTTAGCACAGAGTTTAAATATGCAATAAATGGTACCCTTTTAGAAAAAATTAACATAGCTCTATAGTTTTCTTTTTTTTTTTTTTTTTAGAGATTTTATTTATTTATTTGAGACAGAGAGAATGAGAGACAGAGAGCATGAGAGGGAGGAGGGTCAGAGGGAGAAGCAGACTCCCCGCCGAGCAGGGAGCCCGATGCGGGACTTGATCCCGGGACTCCAGGATCATGACCTGAGCCGAAGGCAGTCGCTTAACCAACTGAGCCACCCAGGCGCCCTATAGTTTTCTAATTATAAAAAAATTAGAAAGTTTTCACCTGAACTGTCACTGTCCAAAGGTAACCACTGAGGGGCGCTTGGGTGGCTCAGTGGGTTAAGCGTCTGACTCCAGGTTTTAGCTCAGGTCATGATCTCCTGGGTTGTGGGATCCAGCAGTGTTGGGCTCTGCGCTCCGCGGGGAGTCTACTTGAAGATTCTCTCCCTCTGCCCCTCCCCCCACATGTGTGAACTGAGAGTAGTTATTTTACCCAGAGGGAACAGCATAGGTTTGTGTTTAGGTTTATATTTATTTTCCAGGAAAAGACCCATCTGCTTCTGTAATTTTTTTTTTTACTAAAACTTGTATGATTTATAAAATCTGATGTTTCCAAAGATCTCAAAAATCACATTTAGTTGACCTAACTTATCAAATAGCCAAGGTGACAAATGACAAATGAAAAACTACCTATCCTATACTTAAAAGTTGATAGGAAAGTCCTTTTATAGCATTTCTCTTCAGTTTGTAATTTATTTGAATTATTTTTGTGCCACTATTATTCTGAGAATTGAGATATTAGTCTCTTTTAAAAATAATCAAGTTCAATAAGTGAACTTTGTCAGAGTTAGGCTATAGTGCTTTTTGATACTTAATTTTTAAATTCTCATATTCTGCTTCAGGCAGATAACAATGTGCTTTAAATTTTTGTGCTTAATAGCTTATATATGTTATTTTTCTCTGATGTTTCAAATACATTTTTAAGAGGTAAAGGAAAAATGTTAAAAGAGTGAACTAAAGGGGCGCTTGGGTGGCTCAGTCACTAAGTGTCTGCCTTCGGCTCAGGTCATGATCCCAGGGTCCTGGGATCGAGCCCCACATCGGGCTCCCTGCTCAGCGGGAAGCCTGCTTCTCCCTCTCCCACTCCCCCTGCTTGTGTTCCTGCTCTCGCTATCTCTCTGTCAAATAAATAAATAAAATCTTTAAAAAAAAAAAAAAGAGTGAACTAAAGATTAGATTAGCTAACATTTCAAAAAGAAGCAGTCATTAGCCGTTCCTTTGGTAGAATCAACCACTGCTAACACCATCATCAGATCTACACTAGATCCTGATTTGTATCAATCTTGGATGGTAGAGGTTGCATTAGAATGTTTCTCTGTGAACATTCTAATGCAACCTCTTTCTGTTGTGTTGCCTTTTATGAAATTCTCATTAGTCTAAACCTGAGTTATAGGTAGCTTCCACATGTCTTCCCATGGCTTGATTTTATTTATTTATTTTTTTAAATATTTTATTTATTTATTTGACAGAGAGAGAGATAGTGAGAGCAGGAACACAAGCAGGGGGAGTGGGAGAGCGAGAAGCAGGCTTCTGCCGAGCAGGGAGCCCGATGTGGGACTCGGTCCCAGGACCCTGGGATCATGACCTGAGCCGAAGGCAGACGCTTAACGACTGAGCCACCCAGGCGCCCTTCCCATGGCTTGATTTTAGAATTCGTGGGGAAAAAAAATTTAACTTGAATTTGAATCACAAAATTGTATCTCCCAATCAGTGGCCTTTGTTGTCTGTCCTGATCGTTAGACACTCCTGTCTGAGGAATAGTAAACCCAAAGAGTAAGGGGTAAAGGCCCTATCTTTACTTCCCCAGCTCTTAAGCACAGGAAATACTCAGTAAAAAGGTAGAGATTATGTGTGAGCAAGTAGGGCTGTGGCCTATCTGCAGCCAGTACACATTTAAACCCACTTACCCTATTCCTAAAATGTTGCTCAGTGATAAAAATCAAATTTCTCCATCAGCTGTCTCCTTTCTCACCTATTCTGTTCCCTGTAAGTTCATTCTGTGTTTGAGATCTGCCTTGATCTTTCAACATACCTTCAGTCTTGTTTCTGATTCATTCTTTGGACTAGCAAGAACCTAGGAATTATGTGGAATTTTTTGTTAATAACAAAAAATTTTGTTTCAGGTAATTTTCAACTGGGTCTTTAGCATTAACAATTACCACTTATTGGATACTTAATTATATAGGTACTATAAGAGAATGTTTATAATAATGAGCTCATTTTATCTTTTTTTTTAATGAGCTCATTTTATCTTAATAACCCCAATGAGATAGGCATTTTCACCAATTTTCAGATGTAACTAAGACTCAGATTAATAATATGCCCCAGATCATAAAGATCATAAAGGACATAGAGAGGATTAAAACTGAGTCTGTCTGACTTAAAAACCTATGCCTGGGCTCTTCAGAATACACGTTTCTGGCATTCCATTTATATATTAGATTCCTCTGATTAATGTAGATTGCATTTGTAATCTTTATCCAGGGTTTAACATTTTAAACCCTAACTTCTGAGAATGGATTAAAATTTAAATGCCTAGATCCTTTTACAAAGCAAAATATAATAATAAAGATGGTTCTCAGATTCCTAATAGCCCAAAGAATGAATCAGAATAATAAAATGTAATGGTGAAGTTGGTTAGATTGTGACTTTGATTCTTTTGCTGTATTTCAATGCATTTAATAATCTAGCTTTAGCTGAAATGTATGCGTAGAGTAAAAGGTTGGTTTTTTTTTTAGGATTTTATTTATTTATTTGAGAGAGAGAATGAGAGACAGAGAGCATGAGAAGGAGGAGGGTCAGAGGGAGAAGCAGACTCCCCACTGAGCAGGGAACCTGACTTGGGACTCAATCCCAGGACTCCAGGATCATGACCTGAGCCGAAGGCAGTCGCTTAACCAACTGAGCCACCCAGGTGCCCTGAGTAAAAGTTTTTGAACCTTGCCTATAATCCCCCCAACAGAAAGAATAAGTTTTTAATCCAGTCAAGTTATGCTTTACCAATTTTGAGCTATGTGGCCTTGCAAAAGTCAGTTTTCTAAAATCTTTCCACTGTAAAATTTTGCTTCTTTTTTTGTATTAAAATCTTCTTGGGATAATTCATATTTAAGAAATTGTTTGCTTTCCCAATTATTAGATTTTTGTCAGGGGTTCTTAAGAGTTTAGAGAAAATAAAAATAGTTTAGTGGTTAAGAGCTCTGATTCTGAAATCAGACTTGTAAAATCAAAGTTGTAACATTTAATACCTGGTAGACACTAGAAATTTTACCTAAGCTCTCTCAGCCTCAGTTTCCTTTTTATAAGATGGCTGTATGACTTATCTCATAAGGTTGTTCTAAAAGTTATGTGAGGGGCGCCTGGGTGGCTCAGATAAGCGTCTGCCTTCGGCTCAGGTCATGATCTCGGGTCCTGGGTTCAAGCCCTGCATCAGGCTCCCTGCTCAGTGGGGAGTCTGCTTCTCCCTCTTCATCTGCTCCTCCCCCTGTTTGTGCTGTCTCTCTCTCTCTCTCAAATAAATAAATAAAACCTTAAAAAAAAAAGTTATGTGAAAAAAAAGGCGGGGACACCTGTGTGGCTCACTTGGTTGGGCGTCTGCTTTCAGCTCAGGTCATGATACCAGGGCTCTGGAATCCAGTCCTGCATCGGGCTCCCTGCTCAGTGGGGAGTCTGCTTCTCCCTTTCCCTCTGCCTCTCCCCCGTTTCATGCTCGCTCTCTCTCTTTCAAATAAATAAATAAAATCTTTTTTGAAAAATAAAAGTTATATGAAGCACTTTTCACACTGCTTTGTATAGTAGGGGTTAACTATTAATATTGCTAATTTAGATTTTGCAGTTTGTTCTTTGTGAAACAAAATAATAGTATTTTAGGGCTAGAAGAAACCTTTACTGATCATTTAATCGAGCACCCCTCTCTTTCGTATGATATTAAAGTCCAGAGGAGGAAGGGCAAAACCTAGTTTGAGGGTTTTTGGTGGATTGGTGATGCACCTGAAACTAAATTAAACCCAGTATCTTTGTGGACAGAGAGAGTGTGTTGCTATTATTGTATTGTTTTGTTCTCTTCACTTCTATCCATTGATTCTTTTTTTAAATCCCACTGAAACGATTAAGTTGTTTCCATTTTACCTATGCAACTATTTTAGTGTCATAGTAGGTTGGCATGAATACCTTTTTTTCCTTTGTTTAGCTAGCTTTTTTCACACCCAAAATGGATCAGTCCATTAGAGATGAAGCTCTACTATTAAGCAGTGTAAAATGAAAAAAAAGCTGTGGTCATTTATGGTTTCACACCGTCCTGCTAATGTTCTGACATGAGACATTGCTTCCCACAGTAGTGGAGCATGGCCTGTTTTGAGTGCTGATTAAGTGAAAGCTCTCTGGTCCACCTGCAAACAGTAGTGATTTCAGTAGGCATAATAATGTTTGGTCTCTGTTCTCTCTTACGTTGTAGAGCCGACAATTAGAATCAGAAACTGGGACCACAGAGGAGCACAGTCTAAACAAGGAGGCTCGAAAATGGGCCACCCGTGTGGCACGTGAGCACAAAAACATTGTTCACCAACAAAGGGTAAGTGTAATAGAGAGAATCTTAGGCTACATTTAGCTTAAGCAAAATGTCAAACCTATTTAAGGAGTTGAGTTTTGTTAATGTGAAAAATACCCTTTTTATGTTTTTTCTGTAATTTCATCCACTCAGCAGTATGCTCTCAGCTATCTACTTAGCTTGGAAATTCCTTAAGCCCTTCAAGCAGCGACACAGTAATTTATCTGCTTGCCATAACATTTCCTGAATGGCTAGTGATAGTGTATTACCGTCTCTCAGGTAGTAGAAGAGACATGCCTGTGTTGAAATAAGCTTTTAAAGCCCTAGACAAATTTTTTTGAAGACTGGCTGGCTCAGTCGGTAGAGCATACGACCCTTGATCTCAGGGTCGTGAGTTCAAGGTCCATGTTGAGCACAGAGTTTACTTAACAAAATAAATTAAATTAAATTAAAAATTAAAAAAGTGAAATTAAGCACCAAAAAAATATATCTTCAAGACTAAACTCTAAGCACAAAGAAATTAAGTATAGCAAATTTTTTCTAATTTCCATTTATTTATAACTTTTTCTTAACCTTCACATCCAACTTATTAAAAGAATTGTTCATATTTAATGTCTATATTTCCTAATCTCACATTTATTTTTTAGCCCATAATATTTGGACTTTTCCTGCTTTCCCTTCCCTCATACTTCATACAGACTACACTTGCCAAAATCATCAGTGATGTCTATGTTGCTAAATCCAAAATGGACTCTTTCATTTCTCAAACCCTGTTGGCAGTTTCATCATAATTGACAACTCCCTTTGTGTTGAAACACCCTCTTCTCTAGTTACCCATGACTTAACACTATCCTGGTTTTCCTTCTGCCTCTCTGGCCATTCCTATATTCTTTGATAGGTTCTTCTTTCTTCACCTCATATTTAAGTATTTAAATTCCTTAGAGTTCTGTACTAGGCTATCTTTTCTTATTCTTTATTCTCATTATAGGCACTCTCAACCACTGACCAAAAATCATAAATTAATATCTCCAACACTGGGCCTTTCTTCTGTGTATACATATATCCTCTTGCCTGCCTTGACTTCTTTTTACTGTCTCACAGGGACCCTGAGTTCAATGTTCCACTAATCTAATGCTGCAAAACAAAACACCTCAAACTTAATGCCACAAAGAAGAGCATTTTTAATTGTCTCTTAGCACTCTGGAGATTGGATGGGCTTAGCTTGCCACTTCTCGCTTGGGAATCTCCCATGTGGTTATAGTCAGGTAGTGATTGGTGCTAGAGTCACCTCACAGACTTCCCCACTGAAATAACTGGTTCTTGGAACAGGAAGACTTGAACCGCTGGGAACTAGAACAGCTAGAGCTCCTCATGCATCTCAGACTCTCTGTGGTCTCTCCATATGGTCTCTCCAGCGCAGTGGCTTCAGCTTAGCTGTACCTCTTACATGGTGGCACAGGGCCCCAAAGATGTGAGTCCCAGGAATGAGCCAAGTAGGAGGTATGTTATCTTTTCTGGCCTAGCCTCAGAAATAACATGATATTACTTTGATGTCATATTTTTGTTAACTGAGGCAGTCACAAAGGCCCATTGTCCAGATTCAGGGGGAGAGAACATAAACTCTACTTCTTGGTAGGGAAATAGCAAGGTTCTAGAAGAACATGTGGAGTGGGAAATATTGTAGTAACTTTTTTCAAAAACACAGTCTTCCACAGTCTGCCTTCTGGTTATAACAGTTTACATCCCTCTTGCATGCAAAATAAAACTCCTCTCTTTACCCCAAATCCCCCAAAGTCTGGTGTCAGACTCCAGTAGGTCATGTAAATGAGATTCACAGACAGATAAGGCTTCTTGAGTGCAGTTCCTCTAACAGTTTATCTCAAAGAATTTGTGAACTAGAGAGACAAGTTATCTGTCTACCATATATCTAATAAATAGTGATTAGATTAATTACTGCAGCTATATAGTTCAAAATATAGAACACATGAAGAGACTTTGTTTTTTTAAAATGCTTTATGATATTTGAAAGTAAATGTTCAGATATTAAAAATATGTCTTCTTCCTCTATCTGTTGTTAAGGCATACTGTGTCTTTCTGCTAGGAGATAGATAAAGGCAGATTTCAACAACTTCTCCATTTCTTAATAGCATGACCTATGTTAGGCTTTAATCTAGTAAGGTATAATTTAAGCAATAAAATTAAGGTTTTTTTAATACTAAATCCAGTTCTGCTTTTGGCCATGATAAATTACCATGGGATCACACTTAAAAAACAATGAAATTAGTAGCCGTATGCCCTCTCAGGTTTTCTGCCTAAAGGCACTTTTTAATATTGCAGTGCAGGGAGGGAGAACTTAAGCATGGTACCACAGACTCACTGAGTTGAGATGACAGAGATTATAGAGTTCAGAGTGGCTGAAGTGGCATGAATTTCAGGGCAAAGTACCAGACAATATGGGGATGCAGAGAAAGAATTCCAAAAATTGACATAGGTCCCCCCTTCATTCTGTTGCTGAATACTAAACCATACATGCATATGATGAAATTCCACAATATGGGGTAGAAAATGACAGAGGAGATAAGCTGAAGGATTCCCAGAGGTCACATAGGTCCAGAACACATTCAAGTTGTGATTAGCATAGGTTGAGACTACTCATGGATCACCTGGGGCCTTCAGGAGACTACAGAAGGATCATACAATGGTTCCGAGGCTAACTTGTCTTGGAATAGGGCTACTTTAGAACTGACTTAACAGAGCTTTAAAACAGGCTTCAAAAAGATCAAACTAATCCACAAGTAACTTATTTGCCTGCCAGGGGGGAAAAAAATCTACTCTTCAAAGGAAGGAAACAAAATCCAGTATTCAGTAACATAGTATCACAGCGCACCTAGGTGACTCAGTCAGTTAAGCATCCCACTCTTTTTTTTAAGATTTTATTTATTTATTTATCAGAGAGAGAGCACAAGCCCAAGCGCACAAGAGGGGGGAGCACCAGGCAGAGGGAGAAGCTGGCTCCCCACTGAGCAAGGAGCCTGATGCAGGGCTCGATCCCAGGACCCTGGTGCTTAACTGACTGAGCCACCCAGGCATCTCTAAGTGTCCCACTCTTGATTTTGGCTCAGGTCATGATCTCAGGGTTGTGAGATCAAGCCCCGCATCAGGCTGTGTGCTGGGTGTGGAGCCTGCTTAAGATTCTCTTTTTTCTCTCTCCCTGTCCCTCGGCCCCTCCCCTCCAAAAAAAAAAAGCATAAAAAAAAAAAAACCCATAGTATTCACAATGTCAAGAATCAAATTTGCTAAATATTAAAAGAAGCAAGAGAATATAACCCATGACCAAAGGAAAAATCAGTTAAAGCAGACCCATAAATGTCAAAGATGATGGAATTAGCAAATAAGGACTTCAGAACAGTAAATAAGTTCAAGGATTTAAAAGAAAACAAACATGAACATATTGAAGAAAGAAAATGAAAATATACAAAAGAACCAAATGGAACTTCGAGATCTGAAAATACAGTATTTGAAATGAAAAATTCAATAGATTGGGTGGCACCATAAGAACAATGAGCTTAAAAGTATATATAGCAATAGAAACTGTGTCCAAACTATCGAGCCCCATATTGGGCTCCTTGCTCAGTTGGGAGTCTGCTTCTCCCTCTCCCTCTGCCTGCCACTCCCCCTGCTTGTGCTCTCTCTCTCTCTCTCTGTCAAATAAATAAATAAAATAAAATAAAAAAGAAAGAAACTGTCCAAACTGAAACACAGAAATAAAAGACTTTTTAAAAATGAACAGAGCATCATTAATCTGTGTGGGAGAATACATGATCTAACATTTTGGGAGTTAGAGACTTATTTGGAGACAGAAAGAGAGAAGAGTCAATTTCATAATCAATTTGTTAAAAAGCAGTGCTACTCAATGAAATAAGACTCAAAATATTTTCTCTAGGATCAGGAACAAGGCAAGGATGCCCCCTTTTGCCACTTCTATTCATTATAATACTAGAAGTTCTAGCCAAGCAATTAGGCAAGAAAAAGAACTAAAAGGCATCGAAATTGAAAAGAAACAAGTGAAATTATCTCTCTTCACAAATAAAATGATCTTACACACACACACACACACACACACACACACACACCCCTATTAGAGCTAGTAAGCAAATTCAGCAGAGTTGCAGAATACAAAATTAACACACAAAAATTGCATTTTTTAAAGATTTTTATTTATTTGGGAGAGAGACAGAGATAGCTGGAGAGAGCACATGAGCAGGGAGGAGAGGGAGGAGCAGGCTCCCCGCTGAGCAGGGAGCCCAATGTGGGGCTCAATCCCAGGACCTTGGGATCATGACCTGAGCCAAAGGCAGACACTTGACCAACTGAGCCACCCAGGTGCCCCTAATTAATTGCATTTTATACACTAACAATATACAATCCAAAAAGGAAATTAAGAAAACAGTTCCATTTACAATACCATCAAAAAGAATAAAATACTTAGGAATAAACTTAACCAAGGAGGCAAATTACTTGTACACTAAAAACTATAAGACACTGAGGAAAGGAACTAAATAAGATATAAATAAATAGAAAGACATCCTGTGTTTATGGAATGGAAGATAATATTAAGATGACAATACCACCCAAAATGATCTACAAATTCAGTGCAATCCCTATCAAAATCCCAACAGTATTTTTTTGCAGAAATAGAAAAACCCATCCTAAAATTCATACGGAATCTCAGGGAACCCTGGCTAGCCAAAACAGTCTTGGAAAAGAACAAAGTTGAAGGACTCATACTTCCTGACTTTAAAACTTATTACAAAGCTACAGTATTCAAAACATTGTAGTATTGTCATGACAGACATATAGACCAATGGAATAGAAGTTTCAATATTTTTATTTTATTTCTATTTTTTTAACATGGAGAACTGAAGTGTTTTTTTTTTTTAATTTTAATTCCAGTATAGTTAACATACAATGTTATATTAGTTTCAGGTGTACAATATAGTGATTCAACAATTCTATACATTACTTATTGCTGCTTATCATGATAAGTGTACTCTTAATCCCCATCTCCTGTTTCACCCATCTTCCCACCTACCTCCCTTCTGGTAACCATCAATTCTCTATATTTAAGAGTTTGTTTTTTGGTTTATCTCTTTTTTTTCTTTGTTCATTTGTAAAGGTAGCAGTATTTTAAAAATACCTGTTATCTCCAAACTAATCCATTTATTCAGTGCAATCCAAGTCAAACATCCAGCAGGAGTTTTTATAGAAATTGGCAAAATGCTTCTAAAACATACATGGAAATGCAAATGATCTAGAATAACAAAAGCAGTTTTGGAAAAATCAGAATGAAATTGGAGGGCTGGGGTGCTTGGATGGTTCAGTCAGTTAAGCAAGCATTGGGCTCTGCGCTGAGCATGGAGCCTACTTGGGATTCTCTCTCTCCTTCTCCCTTTGTGCACCACCTCCCCTCTCCCCCAATGTGCATGTGCTCACAGGCTCTCTCTCTCTCAAAATAATAAGTAAATCTTAAAAAAAAAAAAAAAAATTAGAGGGCTGGGGCACCTGGGTAGCTCAGTCAGTTAAGCATCTGCCTTCAGCTCAGGTCATGATCTCAGGGTCCTGGCTCCCTGCTCAGCATGGAGTCTGCTTATCTCTCTCCCTCTGCCCCTCCCCCTCAGCTCGTGCTGTCTCTCTCTCTCTCAAATAAAAAAACCTTTAAAAAAATGGAGGGTTTACTCTACCTAATTTCAAGACATAAAACTACAGAAATCAAGATGTAGTATTGGTGTAAGAATGGACTTATAGATGAATGGAACAAAAAAAGAGTCTAGAAGTAGGCACACACATATATAGTCCATTGATTTTTAACAAAGATGTAACAAACTTATAAAAATGCTAAATAAATTTTAATAAAAATGAATCCAGTTATATTTTAAGCACATGACTAATGAGGGTGCCAGGATGATTCAACACTAGAAAATTTATCAGTATAATAAACTGCATTTACCAAATAAAGATGAAAAATTCTATGACTTTTTTTATAGTTACCAAAAAATCATATGATAAAATTCATTATCTCTTAGTGATTAAAAAATAAAACGAAAGTCACAGCCAGCAAGATAATTTTTCATCCTAACAAGGATAGCTTCCTGAAACTGACAGCAAAACATTATGTTTGATGGTTGTGTTTTCTATATCTGCCATAACAAATTACCATGAACTCAGTAGCTTAAAACAATACAAATTTTTTTTATCTCACAGTTCTATAGGTCAGACATCTGGATGGGCTTAGCTGTATTTTACTGCTCACACTCTAACAAGGCCAAAATCAAGTTGTTTTAGCTAGCTAGCTAGGCTGGCCTCTGAGATAGAACCCACTTCCAAGCTCATTCAGGTTGTTGTCAGAATCTAGTTCCTAATAACTGTAGAACCTAGGTCCCTGCTTCTTTCCTGTCAGCCGGGGGTACCCTTAGCTCCTAGAGGCTACTCTCTCTGATCCTTGCACATGGGCTTCTAATCTCGGAGCCAGCAATGATGCGTTGAATCCTTTCTGTGCTTGGAATCTCCCTGACTTCCATTTGGCCTGTCTCTCATCTGATTCCAGCCAGAGGACGTTCTCTGCTTATAGGAGGTCATAATGATTAGATTGAGCTGCTTCAGTAATCCAGGATAATCTCCCTATCTTAAGTTCCATAACTCTAATATATCTGTAAATTATATTTTACATATAAACAGTTCCAGGATTAGGGTGTGGACCTCAGTCCTACAGTTATTAGGAACTAGATTATGACAACCTGAATGAGCTTAGAAGTGGGTTCTACCCCAGAGGCCAGCCTAGCTAGCTAGCTAAAACAACTTGATTTTGGCCTTGTTAGAGCGTGAGCAGTAAAATCAGCTAGCATCCAGATGTGTGACCTATAGAACTGTGAGATTAAAAAATTTGTATTGTTTTAAGCTACTAAGTTCGTGGTAATTTGTTATGGCAGATATAGAAAACACAACCATCAAACATAATGTTTGCTGGGGCGCCTGGGTGGCTCAGTTGGTTAAGCGACTGCCTTCGGCTCAGGTCATGATCCTGGAGTCCCTGGATCAAGTCCCACATCGGGCTCCCTGCTCGGCAGGGAGTCTGCTTCTCCCTCTGACCCTCCCCCCTCTCATGTGCTCTCTCTCATTCTCTCTCTCTCTCAAATAAATAAATAAAATCTTTAAAAAACAAAAAAACAAAAAAAACATAATGTTTGCTGTTTTAGGAAGCTATCCTTGTTAGGATGAAAAATTCTTTATCTTGCTGGCTGTGACTTTCAGTTTATTTTTTAATCACTAAGAGATAATGAATTTTATCATATGATTTTTTGGTAACTGTAAAAATAGTAATAGAATTTTTCATCTTTGGAGGTCATTCTGCCTACTAAAATGGTAAAATAAGAAAACAGTACCGAGCATCACCACTACTTTTCAGTGTCATAAGATTTACTGCATTAATGAAAGAAAAATAAAGTGTTCAAATATTAGGAAAAGGTACACCTGTTATTATTTATAGATGATATGATTGTGTCCCCCCCCCCAGAATATGTGACCCAACACTCAAATAGACATAACAATGGTTCAGTAAGGTGAATAGATAGAAGACTATATACAGCCTATAAAACAAAAGAACTTAAAAGTTAAGAGTAAGGGAATAGAATGAGAGGAAACATTTATAACATAAATAACAGAAAAAGGACTAATACCAAGAAAAGTATGTTAAAGTAATAAATAATAAAAGGACAAAAACTAGAAAAATGAATAGAGGCTAAAGATTGACAATATCTAATGTTGGTGAGAGAAATATATGCTGTCACACACTACTAGTAGAAGACGATGTACAACTTTTGGAAGGCAATTTGGCCATGTCTATTTTTTTTTATTTTTTAAAAAGATTTATTTATTTATTTTAGAGAACGAGAGAACGTGGGCAGAGTGGGGAGGGGCTGAGGGAGAGGGAGAAAGAGTCTCAAGCAGATTCCATGCTGAGCTGGGAGCCCAGCCCAGGGCTCCATCCCACGACCCTGAGATCATGACCTGAGTCGAAACCAAGAGTCAGATGCTTAACCAACTATGCCACCCAGGTGCCCATGGCAATGTCTCTTTTAATTAAAACGTACAATTTCCACTTCTGTATTTTTATCTTAAATATTCCTGTATGTGTTCAAAGAGTCATTAACTAGGTTGTTTGTACAGTACTATTTATAATATTGGGAAATTTGAAACTCAAATAGCAATAGAATAAGAGTAAATAAAAAATGGTACAGCTAAACTATTGCATCTATGGATTAGAGAATGAAGTCAGTCTATTTGTACAGTTATAAAAAGGTCTCAGACACATGAGGGGATGATAGATCTCATTTTAAAGATGTATTCATTTATTTTAGAGAGAGAGCACAGTGGGAGGGGCAGAAGAGAGAGGAAGAGAGAAACCCAAGCAGACTCCACACTGAGCATGGAGCCTGAGGCGGGGCTCAGTCTTACAACCCAGATCACAACCTGAGCCAAAACCAAGAGTCAGCTGTTTAACTGAGTGTGCCACCCAGGTGCCCCATCATTTTACTATTTTTTAAATGAAACTGTGCAAGTATGTACAGATACATAAGAAATAGTTCAGAAGAACACATGTAAATTGATGGGACAGTAATGATCTTGGGGTGAGCGGGGCACATAGTGGGATGTGCAAATATGAGACTTTTTGCCATTTTTTATTAGTTGTTTTACAACAGTACTTTATATTCATGTAATTTTTTTAGAAGATTTTATTTATGTATTTGAGAGAGAGAGACTGAGCAGGAACAGGGGGAGTGGCAGAGGGAGAGGGAGAAGCAGTCTCCCTGCTGAGCAGGGATCCTGATGCGGGGCTCCATCCCTGGACCCTGGGATCATGACCTGAGCCCAAGACAGAAGCTCAACCAACTGAACCACCCAGGCGCCCCATATTCATTTAATTTTTAGAAATTGAAGGTATACGTATCAAAACATGCAATCCAAATAAGGTTTGTAGATTGTGCCAATGTCAATTTCCTGGTTTTTATATTGTAGTATAGTTGTATAAGTTGTTGCCATGGGGGAAGGGGGTGGGGAGACTTTCTATACTACTTTTGCAACTCTGTATGAGTATAATTGTATCAAGAGTTTTTTTTAATTAACAAATAAGTGAAAAAAATTAAAGGTTAAAAAAGGAATTGTGGCCACTCGTCACTGAAGTCTATTTAATTACCTAAATAGTCACTAAAGCAAAAAAAAAAAAAAATCAGTCATCATTTTCCTGTTTTCTTCAATAGGTTCTAGATGATCTGGAATGTCATGGAGTTGCAGTGTCAGAACAAAGCCGGGCAGAGTTGGAACAGAAAATAGATGAAGCTAGAGAAAATATTCGTAAAGCAGAGGTGAGGTGACAGCTAACTGTGGCATTTTGCCCAGCTCCAGCAACATCACAGCTGTGATATATACCTTCAGAATTCAATTTCTATACACTGGTTAATTTGAAGATGACTCAGCATCTTCATCTGAGTCCGGAGTATTATTTTTGAGTACCTGCTTCATACAGGTTAGTACACATAACAAAAAGACACTGAACCTGTTATCTGAAGAGTTTATAATCAAGAAAAATTAACAGAATTACACCACGATAAAGATATAATTTTAAAGTTTTCATAAGGTACATAATAAATCAGTCAAATTAATGGCATAAAATTGATATATATATGTTCAGAGCCTTGAAAAGTCCTCCCCGATAATTAAAGGTTCACTGGTCCAGGGGCATAAGCTGATCTTTTAAAAAAGAGAGATTTGGTTAAGCAGACAAGGCAAAAAACGTTACAACAGTGAATTTTAATCTTTTGGTGAGGGGTCATGGAACGCTTTGTGTATGAAAGTGTGAAACCCTCTCTCCCACAAAAAAAAAAAACGCATTTTTGTGTACAGTGTCCAGAAGTTCATGTGCCCTAGAGTAATATTCCCTGACCTAGTGGCAGGGAGGTTGAGAGGGAAAGAAAGAAGTTATTTGCAAAGGAGGAAGACACAGGATACAATTTGGCAGTTGGATTTGTTTAGAGTGGAGGTTTTTTGTGAGGAAATGTGGTAGGAAGTAAGTGAAATAATTGTGGTTAGGACCAGTTTATGGATGACCTGTGCACACTTGTGTATAGTTATCTATATATATAGTTATCTACCCAATGCAACATGTTGAAGGGATGTAGAAAATAGACATTTTAGAAAGACTGAGACTATGCAGACCTCAAGGAGAATATGTTCCTGTTAGGAAGGCATAAAGAGTGCCAAAGATAACTAAGACTTTAAAACATAAATGCTGAGGCGTGGTCCACACAAGTATACTTAATACTTAAAGAACCCAGAGGACACAGAGACCACTGTGGCAGAAGTTGTTAGGGCAGGTAACACAGAAGACGTAGAATTTGAGATGGCTGTTGACAGATGAGTATTATTTAATTAGAGAAAAAGGGATAGTACAAGATTTTCGCCATGCAATGTCAAGAGGCATAACTTGAACCAAAAGAAGAAGGTAGGAAGGAGGCAGATTTGAGCCTGGCATTGGGAAATGCTCTCTAACAGTCATTTGCCCAGTGAGAGAGTAAGCTCCCCGGGACATAGTATATAACACTGTAAGTGTACAAGATACTGCCAGGGACTCTCTACAAGGAGTTCCTGCAATTGGTTGAGGGTTAATCTAAACTAGTGATTTTCATATATCCCCTCAGGACTCTAGAGGTTTTGAGGCAGTGTTTCAGTGGTTGGTTGAGGGGGAGGGGGTAGTGAGAAGAGAGGCAGCTTAGGCAACCATAGGGAGTATGAGCATGTTTTTGGCACAACCCCACAGAAGTGATCTGAACCAGAAACGCGTGCCATCTGCCTGGTGTACAAAAACCCTAGTAAGCCCAACTTGCCTTTTGTTCCTGGCACATGATCCATGGCCTCCATAGTGAAGAGGGCAGTGTGTACAATAAATAGCCATTTTCCACTCTGAATTCAGAGTCATGGCTAAACCACTACCCTAGTGTATCGGCCAAGTACTGTTGGCAGGCCCTTGCCTGGTCTGAGAGACACTGGCTTGTGTATGAGAGTTTCTCCTGCTGTTTGTTTCTCCATCCAGCAGGAGAGTGAAGCCAGTTTCAGAGCCTTGGTGGAACAGGACAAGTCTCAGAAGTTTTGTGAAGGGTGTGTTCTCTTGTATTTTCCGTTTCCAGACTCCCTCCATGGTGTCACTGTCTGGTATCATCGCTCCACCAAACCCCCCAGTAGTGGCAGCAGTAGGTATCAGTCCCACAAAGTCTGCATTTAGGCTGAATGACATGTTATTTCCATGAGTGTGCTAAAGAGCCCTGTGTTTGTTAGCTTAAAGCTAAAAATATGAAGTGAGATTCCCACAACGGAATGTCTCATTTCTCCTAATACCAGTATTTAAGTCTGTATTCTCAAAGATAATTTTCTTACCAAAAATATGGAATATGCTAAGAGCCATGATGCTGGATCCATTATCTCAGCTTTAACTATCTATGAAATATAGTTAGTCCTACTGCTATCTTAAAATGATCTCTCACTTGATTTTCATCTATCAGATATAAAGAATAACCCAGCTAAAATTAGATGGCAAATATGTGAGTGTAGTATTGGGGTAGTACTTAACCAAATTGTCATAATGACATTTTTGGGTAAAGTTGACCGACCACAAGAACCTTCGGAAGAATTGACATTAGTAGTTTCTGCAGATTCCTTTTTTCTTTCCTTTGCCTTTATATCATTTGTATTGGATTTTCTCTTTCCATTCAATAGTTATTTACTTTACTAAAAATACCTAATCAAAAGGAAAAAAGCTGGTTAAAGTTCCATTATCTCCTTCATGTTTGGTTTTTAACTCCTACCAACATGAATGTTACTCTCCTTTGTTGGTTAATCTACTTTATCCAGTCTTTTCTGTATAGTGTTTCCATTCAGTGTTGCTGATTAGAATAAAAACCTTTGTGGTGCTCAGTAATAAACTTTTTCCAAACATAAGAAATCAAAAATATAAATGGCCTGTGCTTTTCCAAAGAATAGGGTTTATATAGTGACTAATTAAGTATTGGCTGGTTAATGTGTCACAAATTCACTAATTGATTAGTTTAACAAATACTTAATGAATACCTGCCATGTGCCAAATACTGATGGATATACTATACATACAGTGATGAACAAACTATTATTATATTATTATGATCTCTACGATTGTCACAAAATCTTTGTATTAGATGTGGTGCTGTTTGCAACCCCTGACAAATTCAAGAATTGAAACAGAGCAGTAGCTGCTTAAGTTAAACTTTAGTAACAGTCTTCTTAACCTGGTATTTATGTATTTAAATTTTTTGACGTGCCTTTGTCACAAAGACACACACATTCTTCATCTGACTTACCTTTCCTATTTTAAAAGTAGCTTACCAAGAGACCAAGAATTTCTAAATACCATCTTTTTGGAAGCTGTACATGACTTATGTTGTTCAGAACACAATTATTCTTTGCATGTTTAAATTTTTCCTTTTATTTGGGTTGAGGGCAGTTCTCTCTTTTTTGACAGTGAGGAGACAAAAAGAGGAGAAAGTTAATGTAAGAAGTCAAAGATACTCAGAAATTTTTAGTAACTCACATTTGGTGTGAGGTCTGCAGAAGGAACTATAGACTATATGATTCTTTCTTTAAGATATTAACTATAGTTTTTTAATCTGAATTGAATGTACATTTGAAAGCCAAAGTACATTAACAAAGTGAATTAACAAAACCAAAAAAAAATCAATTATTATCTATATAAACACATTTTCATAAATAACATTTTCTCTTAAATTATCATCCTATAAGCTTCTATTGTACATCAGGAATTCAAAATTATGTCATCCTTGTACCTCAGTGACTCAAAAAATGGTAATTAATACCCCTTGCCAGCATGCGATAGGAGAAACCTAAAAATTTCACTTGCATAAAATGTAAGGAAATGCTAAAGATGAGCCTGCTATAAAAACAGAATTTCCAGTCATGTTATATCCAGATTGACATTACCTCTGGGCCTGTTATTGCAGGTTTTCACTGTACTCATGTAACATGTCAGCAGACCTTTTGTCTAACCACTTTCTTTCATTTTTATTATGAAAAATATCAACCATATTTAAAAGATGAGTAAATATATATTTCTCAATATGCTAAATTCAACAATTAACATTTTACAATATTGACTTTGTATGTTTATTCCTATTCTGTAATATAGAAGTTAAAGCAGGAGGCCTGATTCGAATGAGTATTTTAAGCAAGAATACTTTATAGATTGATGCTATGTTTTTCATCACAGAATGTTTTTATCAAGTTGCCTCTCTATTAATGATGCTAGTAGTAGTCACTTAATTAGATGGTGCTACCAGCTCTTTTTAAAGTTTCTTTTTTTGTACTTGCAGCTAGCAAGTCCTAGTCACCTCCAATATTGGCAGCTGGGTATTTTTCTCTCTTACTTAAGTATCATTATGCTGTCGTGGAATTTTAAAAATCAGCTCTATCAAGGTATAATATACAAACAATAAAATGTAACCATTTCAAGTGAACAGTTTGGTGAGCTTGGAGAAATGCATCTCCCTAAGTATTCACCACCACAATCAAGATATCAAATATTTCTGTCATCCCCCCAAAATTCTCTTGTGACCAGGCAACAACTCACCTGCTCGCTGTCACATAGGGTAGTTCAGCGTCAGCAACACTGAATATTAGATTACTTGATATTGTCCTATAAATCACATGCAAAGATTACACCTCACATTTTTATCCAGCCTTACTTTTTGTCTTAAGGTCATCTGAGCTACGGTGTATTCAGGTTCACTGATCTTTTCTTCTGTAGTGTGTAATCTACTATTAAGGGCATCCTGTGAATTTTTATTTCAGATATTACAGTTTCAGCTCCATAAATTCTGTTTGGTTCTTTATATTCCCAGTTCACGCCTATTTATCTTCATGTTTTCCTTTAAATCCTTAAGTGTAGGGGCGCCTGGGTGGCTCAGTCATTAAGCGTCTGCCTTCAGCTCAGGTCATGATCCCAGGGTCCTGGGATCGAGCCCCGCATCGGGCTCCCTGCTCCGCGGGAGGCCTGCTTCTTCCTCTCCCACTCCCCCTGCTTGTGTTCCTGCTCTCGCTGTCTCTCTCTCTGTCAAATAAATAAATAAATCTTAAAAAAAAAAAAAATCCTTAAGTGTATTTATAATAATGACTTTAAGTCCTTGTCTGCTCGTTCCATCCTATCTATGTTTTCTGTTTCTCTTTCTTAATTGATTTTTTCCTTTAGTTATGGCTTGTGTTTTTCTGCTTTTCAAATACCTAGTAGAAATTTTGAGTGTTTGGTTATTGAGTGTCTGGATTCTTT